GCGAGTCAACTCCTTGATCAACTGCGTCAAATTCACACTGTGGCACAGATTTTGTAAAGCTACAGCTTCTAGGGAATGCGGAACAACATATCACAGTTCAGATCAGCAGCGACGATGATATTTTTCCCGAATGTAAGCGCTTGAGAATACTTGTCCATAAAGTTATCAACAAACTTGGCTGATTAGTTGCTGCCCCCTTTTTTTATCAGCAATTCCTTTTCTGGGCTGTTGATTTCTAAATCTTGGCAAATATCTTTTATGTCTGGGGAGGCACTTTGCTTGCCATTTTGACCACTTTGTTTTGGTGTCATTGGAGGCGCATTTTCTACATTTACTGGTGATGGATTCAAGGATAGCTTATGAGCTACGTGAGGCTGGGATTGATTTCTTGAAGGTATCGTTGCTGGATCTGCAAACGGGGTTCCACGTGTGATCTCTTCATGTTGACGAGGCAACACACCAAAGTCAAGGTCATTCAGAAATGTTCTGAGAAAACCAAACCTTGATTCCTTTAGCAATGAACTCTTTTGAATTTGTTGCCAGAATAAAACAGCGAGAATGCCAAATGATGATGCCACAACCACAAAATCTGGCACGACATTGGTGTCAAACATGCATTCATTGACTTGCCGAAGGGTAGCTCTTTCGACCATTTTAAATTCTTTGGGAAAACTTAGAACAACTACATTTTTTCGTAAACATTGGCATGGGCTAATGCCACAAAGACTGGAACTTAGCAGATACCAATATCTCTCAAGAGAGTTCAGCTCATTGCCGATAACATGAGTAAAGGGTGAGAGACCCTTTCTCGGTGCCATCCTACCACCAACAAACAACTTGTAGTTGAAAGCTGGTTAAGACAACAGGACAACAGGCAAAAGAATGGAGTCTTCTGTGAAGATTAAAGAATCATATTACATCATTTATAACATTAACCAGGACCCCATTCACGAGCGATGATACATTGATCTCTATAGTTTGAAAGGTTATGGAGTCGCATTAGAACACTAACCAGGACCCCAATAACTGGTGATGATAAGTTGATCTCCTACAGTTTGACATGTTTTCACACATTCCCAACAGACCTGGGGAAATAATGCTGCAGGAGATGATACTTCCAGTAAAAGCCATATCCATCCTCTCATGTGTTCCAAAACCTGGCGTAGGATCCGATAACAACATATTAAGGTAAGTATCATCTCTTGCGATGTCGTCCGCTTCTGACTCTAAAAAAGTTTAGAAAAGTCTCTATTAATGCTATGTTTTTACATTGACAGTGACTTTATCAACATAGGGTGCGATTAATTGGGCTACCCATAGAACAGGTATCTTATGTTCCTCATCCTCGTCTATGCCTAAAAATTAACACGTCAGACTTGTATTACTTTCTTCGAATAATAGGAAAAATGGCTTCTAATACATCTGCAGATGTCATCTTGACGACTATTCCTGAAATGAATCATTCACATCCATCTGTAAGAATTTGCACTGTCCTCTTGTTGGGTTTAAATTGCCACCAAGTGAATAGCTTACAATGGCGTTGACTGCATTGCAAATACATTTTGCCATAATTTGTTTCTGATTGAGTCAATGACAATGTGGGAGTCATTCCACATTCGCACACCATCTTGTAAATTCTGTCCAGGGTGAACCAGGGGTGACCCTGCCTTTGACATTCATAGTAATAATGGTGGTAGTCATTGGGATTACAAAAGACTGGGTAACTGGCGGTTGAATAATGTAGGAGTACATCGTCACAATCTTCTCTTTTAGATTTCAATCCGTCCATCATGGTCTGGTGGATCGGACATGGATAACTGACATCCTCACTATCCAGTAACTCATCCAAGGAGGAATACTGAGACGTACCTGTACCAGAATCCTGTGGAATCTCGCCTTGTTCTAGCACTTCCACCTCAGTCTTTTCTGTCGTTGGTTCAGTCTTGATATTTTCTACCAGTTTGTTCAACTCTTTCAATGACAGCTGTGACTTGGCAGGCTTTGATTTAGGAGTTTACATGTGTTCTGGTTTCATATAATCCACAGCCATTCGTGGCTTATTCACAACAAACTTGGGTGGTTCTCCTCCAAAACTGTCATGCATCAGGGTATCTTTACCTCGGAATTCAGGAATATTCATAGGCAGTGCATGAATGACAATAGTACCCTTCAACTTATTCTTGGCCTCTGTTTTCTTCTTGTTTTCTTTTTTGACATAAGGAGGATTCCTCTTGGTATTTGATGACATCTTGTTCATTGCTTGCTTGCTTGCTCACCACTCTACGAGAGAGAATTATGACTTCCCTTAAAAATCTGCTGTACCTTTATACATCTTAGATCTATTGTCTTTGAATTCTACCTGCTCATTGGTTACAAACTGTAGAGCTTTGATCCTGCATGATTTAGTAAAATTTTCTCACTGGCTACAACCTGTAGAAGTTTTTTTAGTTCTCTAGAGAGTATGGAAACCTTGGACAGCCTTCATGTAATTGCCTAAAGGTTAGGGCAGCCTTGGGCAGCCATCTTTGTCAGACATCTTACACTGCGCATGCGTAAAGGGTTATAACATCTTCCACATGGATGGGAAGTGAGGTCCTGAAATATATATATCTATATATATATATCTATATATACATATATATATATATATATATTTCTCTTAGGGGATCCGTCATTTGCCCACTACTATGACTAATCCAAAAATTCTTCAATGTACATATATTTGTAGCGAAGTTTTGGAGGTTGAATTTAATGAGACAAACCTGGCTCTACTAACTACCTTATAGGGTCGCTTCGAAATTCTTGGACGCGCGCTCCTGAGAACTATATATATATATATATATATATATATATATATATATATATATATCTGGAAGCAGTTTCACTGTTTATCAGTAAAGGGCAAAATTGCTGGGCGCTGATTGGTTGAGAGAGAGGGCATTTTTTTCTTAATCGAGGGCATTTTTAGTAATCAAGAGAGGGCATGATTACCTGTTAATGATTGGCTAATCCGTTGCATAGCAACCATTCGTTATCTTGAAATTTTGATTTTCCTTCGTATAAATTTTGCCCTTTATTGATAAACAAGTAATCCCATGAGACGTCGTACTATTAAGGATTAATTGCACTTGAGTTTTCAAAATTTTGGAAAATTTTGAAAACTCTCATGCAATTAATCCTTAATAGTACAAGATGGCTGACTCTGCTGCAAGCAGTTTTCACTGTAAACCGGTTCCTTGGTTAAAAGAATACTTAAAACAAAGGGGCATTCAAAGCTCAGGAAAACGTAAGGTTGAACTGGTAGAACTTTGTGAGAAAAGTGAGCAGATGAAATTCCCAAAATTTGCTGAAGAGAAAGCACCAGTCGATCCAAGAATTTCTATGAAAGAGCAACTGAAAACCGTTGAGAGAGATCTCGCAAATCCGTTGGATAACGAAAACCGTGTTTTTTCCCAATGGACCAAAAACTTTACTAACGTATCGGACTTTAGATTCCCGGATCTTTTCATTTACCTGGGGGAAAAGATCCCGTATATAACAGCGAGAGCCTAAAGAGTTACAAATCTCTATTGGGGTACAAATTATTTTTTGATGGACATGTGGAAGAACTTTGATATCACCCACCTCAACCCAATATTAATTACAGTTATTTAAAGTTTGCTGTTAGGCCAACTGAAAAATCCAATATTGATGATGGTTCAGCAACATACAGAGGGCTTTTCATTGTAAAGAAGGATGGATGTGTCAATTCAGCCTACTGCTTATGCAGAGGAGGGTATGTATTTCCTTCTTTTGATTTCTGAAGCCTGTCTATGTGCTTGATATTCCATAAACATACGTTTGAGAATCAAAACGTTTAGTCTTTTCAGTTGTTTTTCTCTATGACAGGTTTTGTTTTATTCATATTTGAAGGTTTATATTTCCCTTGTAGCAGTTGTAACATGAGTTAAAAGTAGATGTCTCCTGAAGTGAAGATCTAAATTAATGGATGCATTATTTTAAGTCTCAAACCTTCTGGATCATTATGACTTCAGCACTAAGTATTAAAACAGTAGTTCAAAGTCAGAATCTGTGAGCCTAGTAACCGAACTTATTGGCTACTTTACAGTCTATCAGTGTGAACACGATACATATTTGTCATATTAGTCCTACTTTAATCAAGGCAGATGGAGGTTGCTGGCATATAGCTGCAGCATCGTTTGATCAAGAATGAAATGTGAGATTCAATGATCTCCAATCATGTACATCAGGACAGTGCATGTGGAAAAAGAGAGGAAAGAGAATTGAGGGAAGTTTGCTTATTCAGGACCTTCAAACGAGTGGTAGTTACGATGTGACATTGAAAGACCCAATTCACTCAAGTGATTTTAATGCAGTTTGTATTCCTTATAATGTGACTGAACTGGAACAGGATTTTAAGACTGGGTTGCTGGAAACATGTCCTAGCTCTTCAGCTCTGCCTTTTTCATCTTCAACTAAAGGACTCAGTCAAACAGAGGAAGGAATCAGAGATTTTATCAGCAGTGATGTTAATGTCTGTAAAGGAGAAAGTGTTCAAAGTGTGCATGTATATTCAATGACTGATAATGCCAAAGTTTTTGTTTCTGTTATTACTGAAAAAGTGATGCCTGCAGTTTCTAAAGAACTTGCAATTGAATTCCTTGAGTCTATTCCATTTAATGAGGAGCAAGCAGCAATTATCAACAAGGAAACTGTCTATTAATGGCAGTCTCAATTTTGGTTTGATCAAAGGGCTGGAAGAATTATAGCTTCCTCATTTTACATGGTAGAGAGAGCACACACAGAAGAAACACTATTAAACATCTGATGAATTACTTTCCAATTGCTGAAGATGCCATGCCACGACAGTTGACATGGGGGCATGAAAAAGAAAAGCGAGCACTTGGTCTTAAACTAAAAAAAAAAACAGAAAAATCATGAGAAGTTGTTAATGAAAAAAAGTGGGACTCATTGTAAACACATTATGGCCCTTCTTGGGA